AGCCTCGAGGTGGGAGGGGCAGAGGGGGCGGGGCCACGGGGCGGGGACCAGAGTCGCGGGTGGAGGGGGAGTCTGAGAAAGCCGGAGACGAGACTCGGGAATGGGGAGGGGGTTAGAGTAAGAGAAACAGGGAGAGGCTCCCAGAGCGAAGCGGGGTACACACCAAAGAGCAAACGGAAGAGGGAGCCCCAGGGAGAGCGAGAGAGCGCCAAGAGGGACCGAGAGAGGAGAGGCATCGAGGGTCGGTCACGAGGAAAACTGAGAGGGGCAGAGGGAGACGCGAAGGGCCAGGACCCGCAGGGGTGGAGGCGAGGGGATAGCGCCCCCGTCTGCAAGGATAAAGAGGGCCATTGAGGGGAGGACGGAGCGGGAAGCGAGAAGGACAAGAAAGAGGGTTATCAGGGGGAAGTAAAGGGGAGGCACAGGAAGGACAGAGAAGGGGCCATTGCGCACTCAGGCCTCCAACACCACCCGTCTGGGAGATCCGGGGGTCGTACGCCTGCCAGGGTGCCCGGCGGGATCCCGAGTGCTGAGAGCAGCCTCCTCCTCTTTTCTGGTTCTGACTGTTCCCAGGACCCGCCTTCTCCCAGGAGACGTGCAACCCCTTCGTTCCTCGCGTCTGCCCCTTCCTCACCAAGCTCCCGGCCAGGCTGCTCTTTCCTGAGGTCCCCTTCCTCCATCTTCCTCTGATCAATCCCCTTACCCCTGCTTCTAGGCAAGGGAGAAATGAAGATCCTAAGAAGGTGGGCACCCCATGTTGTTTCTCCATGCTGACCGGTACAAATACGTCACTGAAGGGCTGGGAGGAAAGGGACACCCATGTATTCCAGCCGCCAGGAGGAGGGGTTGATCCCATCCAGCCTCTCAGCCCCTCAGCTCCTCCTCCCCCACCCCCAAGCCTCCTCAGCGGCCCCCCAACTCTTCTCCCCACCAGGTTGCATGAGGCTCTCCTCTTCCTCAAGTGCAGTAAAGTGTTTAGGTTGCATAAACTGAAAAGTGTCTGCTTCCATCAAAATATTTGTCACATTATTTGAGGGCCAGCTCTTGCTGCTCCACTGCTCCTCGCTCACCCTCCTTTATCCAGCCCACCAGGGAGGCCTCTGGCCGGCTGCAAAAGCATGACACTCCAGCCTCTTCCTTCTCTCCTGAGAGGCCCCCTCCCAGCTCACACTCTCTCTGTGCTGACCCGTCACCATATAACTCTCTGCCCTTCCCTACCCAAGGTTGAGATTGCTCATCCCTGAAGGGCTGGGAGGAAAGGGACACCCATATATCCAATGAGGGACTTTGAAAGAGGACCCTCCAAGCAGTGACGGCTGAGCCCAGGCCCAGGAGGGAGCTAAAAAAAATTCAATAAATAGCATTTACTCAGGGCTTATTATGTGCCAAGTCTTGTGTTGAATGCTTTACATACGTGATCACACGATCTTCATTCACATCCATCCAAAGAGGAAAAGCCCGTCATCATTCTCATTGTACAGACAGAGAACTGAGGCTCTGGGAAGTTTAGAGATCTGCCTAAAGTCACGCAACTAATAAACGGTACAGCCGGGATTCCAACCCTCGGCCTGGCTCGGAGCTTTTCCAGCCTCAACGCGATTGAGTCTCTAGGTGCTGTTTACAGCCCAGAGTGCAGGCGGTGGGGGGTTCAGGGCAGTTAGACCTCCCCAGGCTCAGGGAGAGCAGTCCTCAGTTCTAGGCTGTCATCGGGCCTCCTGGTCCCCAGGGCGGTCTCCTCAGGGTGACCCCCCAAGAGCGACAGGGCTGGGCCCCGAGGGGCACACGTGCGCAGTCATTGGCGTGTGATTTGTGCAGACCAGCAAGAGTGTGGGTATGGAGACCAAGTAGGAGGTAGTTGCAGTGGCCCAGGTGAGAGCTGGTAGTGGCCTGACTTGGGAAGGCAGGAGGCAGAAGTTGACTGATTAGTTGACAGATTGGAAGGGATGAGGATGGAGTGTAGGGAGCAGGAGATGATGAACAGGTTTCTGGAAGGATCTTGAAATGTATATTAAATGAATGAAGGATGGATGAATATTGTTGCTGTTACCTGGGTACCGATATGTGCCCAGTGGTTTACATACTTGATTTCATTTAATCCTCATTAGAAATCTTAGGGAATGACCATTATCATCTCTACATTGGAGATGAGGATGCTGAGGCTTAGAAAGATTAAGTGACTTGCCTGGGATCACACAGCTGATAAGAGGGAGAGTCAGCATTGAAACTCAGGTCTGTTTGACCCCAGATGGGGACTCTTTCCCACTCTGCCCAGCGGGCACAACCTAGCAGGGAAGACAAGGAAAGATACTTAGTGTCAAGGCCCAGGAGCATAAAAGGCATATTTTCGTCTTGTGATTGAAGCCATTCACCTACAGCCAGGCTTGGGCAGGATGCGGGGCTCAGCACCAGCAGGCAGAGACCCAGTTCTCATGGCCCATTTAGGCTACTAACTTGCCATACATGTTTGGGGAAGTCTTATGTTTTAGGGCTTCCATTTCTTGGTCTGGGCTGGCTAATTGTCCAGGCAGATCTGAGAGGCTGTGATTTTCACGTTAAAGCCAACTCCCCATTGGCATCCACTCAGATATTTAAAATCCCATCATGGCATTTTAACTCAGACACTTCCAGATCCTTAATGGGAAAACCATAATTTCAGCCCCCTTTACCTATTGTGACGAATATTTCAATATTTTTTGAGCACTTATAAGTGCAAGATCTTGTTCTAAGCACTTTATTGGATTATCTCATTTAAACTTAAACTATAATCATGGGTTTGAAACTATTACATGGCTTATGTCATTTAGTAGTAATAAGTCCACAAGGTGGGTACTATTATTTATTTTAACTTAAACTATAATCATGGGTTTGAAACTATTACATGGCTTATGTCATTTAGTAGTAATAACTCCACAAGGTGGGTACTATTATTTATTTTTTATTTATTTATTTATTTTTGTCTTTTTGTCTTTTTTCGTGACCGGCAACGGGATCGCAACCCTCGGTGTTGCCCCCGCTCCTCGCTCAGCCAGTGAGTGGCCGGTCTGTATGTGGGATCCGAACCCTCGGCGGGAGCGCTGCCACGCTTCCCAAGCGGCGCACTGTAGCAGTGCGCCACCGGGTCGGCCCCGGTGGGTACTATTATTTCCTCCATTTTGTAATTGAAGAATCTAAGGCTTGGGTTGAGCTTCGTAGTAGGTGTTATGAAGCGCTAATGAAGCACAGGCAAAGAATGCCCTGCCCGGAGAAGTCCAGGAAGACTATACGGAGGTGTCATTTTTGCCATCCATCTGTTCATCCGTTCACTCATCCTCCATCCATTCTATAAACCCATATTAATTGACTGCCCACCACATCTCTTGTTATCACAGGACACATGATGAGAAGAAAAGGCTTCTGACCTCATGTGGTTACAGTGTATTGCTGAAACCTGGACAGTTAAACAAGCAATTGCTACCTAGTGTGACAAGTGTGCTGCCTGGGAATGTGGAAGTGCTATGGGAACACTTGGCAGTGTCACCTAAATTCCTCTGGAGGGAGGAATCATGGGAAGCTTCCTGGAGGAGGTGGTATTTAAGTTAAGCACTGACAAAAGGAGTCAGCAAGGTGAAGAAGATAACCCCCAGAGGCGGAGGAGGCCGGGAGGAGTATTCCAGGCAGAGGGAACAGCATGTGCTAAGGACTAAGCTTGCAGGACCTTGTGGGCTGTGACAAGGAGTTTGTAATTTATTCTAAGGGCAGTTAGAAACTACCGAAGGGTGTGAAATACTGAAGAAAGTGAGTCATCAAAATCTTCAGATTAGAATGATCACTCGGGCTATTGTGGGAAGGCAGAATCAACACAGAGCAAGAGTGTGGGTATGGAGACCAAGTAGGAGGTAGTTGCAGTGGCCCAGGTGAGAGCTGGTAGTGGCCTGACTTGGGAAGGCAGGAGGCAGAAGTTGACTGATTAGTTGACAGATTGGAAGGGATGAGGATGGAGTGTAGGGAGCAGGAGATGATGAACAGGTTTCTGGAAGGATCTTGAAATGTATATTAAATGA